TGCATTCTTGACCTTATGTTGGTATTCATGAATATATATTTGGACACTGACGGCGAGTTTAAGCTTGGGTAATTGAGTTTGTAATCAAGGAACACAGTGGTAATTTGAAACTCGAAAAAGCCCTAGTTATGCAGGTGTGTGCACAATGATTTTTATCGTGTTATTACAGTCTGAAACGTTTCTGGCGATAGAATATAATTTCGATTTCCATCTTGCTTCGAAACTTAACTGATTAATTACGAACGTTGTAAATTTGAAATTTTGAAAATTTTATGACATCGGATTAAAAGTTTATTTAGTTCTCGACAGATTCGTGCAAAGCCAAAAACTTTTTTTTCAAAAAGTCCCTTCGGCAAAATGACCAATTTAATGTTTTGAGGTAAAAACCGCGAGTGAAATTTCTGTCACAATTTTCATTTTTACTTGCATCGTTGTCGTTAACGTTCGTTTTATTAATGCAGGCTTCAAAGCGAGATGAAGATAAAACTTCGATAAAATGAATCTTTGAACCTCCATAGAAACGCATTAGTTGGTTTTACTGTTAAATGGTTGGTACATTCAGTACCAGCACAATAGCAATGTTTATAAACATTACGACCATAAAATTCATACTTCTCTAGGACAATCATATACTGAGTAAATATTCGCGAACCTTCACAGTTTTACTGATACATGCTCTTCTAGTTCACTGCTAGCAGAGCCTATTTTCCTTTTGTTTTGGTTGAGAGATAAAAATAGACTCTGCCGATGTAGGTTATACTTGTCGCGCCTGGGTGGCGTAACTTAGCAACGCTGTCATGATTTTGACAGCCGCTCTCGTCAAACAATGTTTGGCGCCAATGTGAGTTACATTTGCTCATGCGCACTACATGTACCCGGTCTAAAGCCGGTTTTAAAAACTGTATCAAAGGTAACGCTCTACATCTGCAGAGCCTCCTTCTCCGCCTAAACGAAGGGAAAGAAAGAGGAGAGACTCTTCGGCTAGCAGGGACTCTTTCTAGCCATGGTCATTATTTTGATAAAATTTAATTGCGAAATAAATTAAGTGCCGATCAGGGCCTGTTCTTCCTAAAGCCAAAAAAAATCTTTCTCTTGTAAAAACTTTGAACATTTTGTTTTCCTCAGTTGCGTTCGCAAAAATATTCAAATAACCACTGACACGTCAATCAAATCAATCAAAAACAATTTTAATTTGGTGGGGGGAGGGGAGGGGGGGGATTGAATTAATTAAAAATAGGATTTCGCCCAATTCGCAACTGTTTGAATTGCAACTTCCAACGAAGGAAAACAACTAATACCTTGAAAMTTATTAGGATATTTTATTTTTTTGCCTCGAAAGTTTTAGTCTCCCTCGCATCCGTTTTTAGTGTCGGTCGTCACGCAACGCTCCCTCCCCACAAACGGCTGCTTGCATTCGAACTACATTCCTTTCTCATTGTTTGGATCGTACCAATGAGGTCGAGCGTATTGTTTCCTATTGAGCCAATCGCAGTGTCCGAAAGTATAAACATGGTGAGTTTCAATAGAGCTGCCGAAGAACACCCTCGAAAGAAATCGGTGCGGAATATTCTAAAACTTTAAACTACGTAACTTTGAGAGTTGGTCATCCATTAGACGTATTAGCGACCTTTAGATACGACGAAGAGTACGATTACCGATTTTTTACAATCGAAAGTTTCAATCTATTTTATACACGATCCAAGAGATAGTGCTCGTTCTCGCACTCGTCGTCGGATCTAAAGGTCTCAATTAAAGGAGACACAACAACCACGATATGACCAGACTCTTGTGTATATTTGTAGTCAAATACGAGAGGCAGAGCTTGGTAAATTAGAAATTTGCCAAAACCCTGTTGGAAGATTGACAAAAATATCTTTTTTCTCTTCGACTAAAGTTTTGATAGCCGACTTCTGATGCGCATTTAGATCAGGAATACCGAACTTTGAAGACACGAAGCCAAACACTTCTTGTATGAACGAGTTGAAAATGCGAAATAAAAGCTGCACGGTGATTGGTCAGATCAAAAGTCCGCGAACGGTTCTCTAAATATGTAACCCGTCTTGTGTCTTGTGATTGGCCAAACAATGAGAAAGGGATGTAGTTCGAATGCAAGCAGCCGTTTGTGGGGAGGGAGCGTTGCGTGACGACCGACACTAAAAACGGATGCGAGGGAGACTACGAAAGTTTATTCTCTTTCGGCAACCACACACACTTTAGCCTGCGTGACCGCTCTGGGGGATTGGGGAGGAGGAGGGGGATTGGGGAGTCGCCACGGAGACTACACACACTTATATTATACTTTCCAAACTTTTATTATATTATTATATTTACTTCTATTTCGATTATGTAACCCGTTCATATATTACCTCTTCAATTATAAAATGTGTGTGAATTTATTATTATTAAACTTAAACTTAAACTTAAACTTAAACTTAAAAAGTTTATCTCAGAGTTACCTGTATAGATGATTGGAGTTAGAAGTCTTCCAGAAGCTTCACCAATGATAAAGGACTGCACAACCCCATCTGGATATTTTATTGTCAAAGCTATCATCGCAAGTTCCACGCATGCAACTCCTAAACCAGTGAAGCAAACAGCTGCGATTTTTAGTGTAGTGTCAGGAAGAAAACCCACACCAATAGAGCCCAATATCATTGTCAGACAACCAAACCACATTTGGTATRTATTCTTTAGTCGATGGTGAAGAAACTGAATGAAGACTACTGCAAACAAGTAAGGTATGTTGACCATAGCACTGATCCATCCAGTCGAGTAGTTCGTATTTTCAAGGATGTCTTCCGCCCCTGCCAAAATACTATCCTGTATGGTTGTGTAGACAAACCCACAGATAAAAAACACTGACAAAAGGATAACTTTGATTCTTGTTGAGGGAAAGCCAGCATCACGAAGGGAATGCGTCATTGGCTTGGCCATTTCTTCGTGTTTTGCTTTTCAGTAGCTCGTAAAATGGGGACGGTAAATTTATGCGTATTTTTGATAAGGAACGATGAAATAGCCGTGGTTGATGAAGAATTAGGAAATCATCTTCAAACGCGGTATAATATACGAGTGCCCATACAGTTGAGAGAGAGAAAGAAAAAGAGAGAGAGCACATGGGCTGTAGGAGAATAATTGCCGGGCTAGTGACGGGGAAAATGCTTGTTAGTAGACCGAATAGATCACTAATTACTCACTTGGATCTGTCTATCCGTGTTTTAATGACTATGATCTAAATATTCAAATTCAGTCTAGATTATGACCTGAAACGTTGCCTTTCTCCTAATATCGAGATGCTCTTTCTATTTCTGGAGTTTTCCAAACACACAAAATGGTAGTCTTCAGTAATGGTTTTTAAATCTGTTTTTTTTTTTTTTTAGTTCCAAAAGTTAGATCGTTTGAATTGGCCTTGGCGTTGCTATAATACGACAGGTACGCCTAAATATGGCACTTCAAACTGTAGTAAGAAGCGTGATGTCGGGTTTGTCAGGCTCAAAACAAATTGCTACCATGTATGTTGATGAGCGTATCTAGGAATTGGAATGGGGCTTAGGGGGAGGTGGGTGGGGATTGGTTGGTCACAATCAGGGAATATTCATCTTTTTACCAAATAACAAATATTTTAAAACCTTGAAAATAAATTGTAAAAGCACATGCAGTTACACCATGAAATAAAATCAAGATTGATAGAGTGAAAAATTGTTAGTCAACGTGTGCTGATAGTCAAATAGACACAAAAGAAAACGATGGATTTAAGTTCTACTAATGTGTATTCAGTCTAATATTTATTTCACTGGTTTAATGACTTCACTCTACTGACAAACAGTACACTACTTAGTGCCCTAACAGTAGCTATCACTCAAATAGAGCAGATACCTTATTATTGTATGTGTTTTTGTGTAATGGATGTTCTGGTTTAGTTATAGGAACTCTTAGTTTTAATAGTACTGCTTGTCAGTAGCAATAAGACGTTTGCATGATGACGTCATTGACCTCTGCTATCTACCAGAATCCCTTGCACGCTTTTGTTTGTTCAGTTAATTGTCTTACTATTCCCATGAAATAAGAAAGAAAATTGGCGAATCATCTTGGTAGTGGGAGTCAAATGACACTATCATGCAAATGTCCTATATCATTTTGTACTCTAATAGAACTTGATGGTCATCGATGGTCATACATTCTGTGATTACAAACAATCATGAACAAGACTTTTTTAAAGGTAGTAAAACATTCTAAAATTATACTTCTACATGTTAGGGTTGCTATGACGTTTATTTGTCGTCTGTCACGCTGCTGGCGAGAAGAGCTTCTTTCCCTTTTTGCGCAGGCGGTCGGGTATGCAAAAGCTGTTTGTTTTCATGTCAAGGCTGTTGCAGCAACGTAAAATCAAGTTATGCTCCAGCTTACAACCTCTGAGAATGGTGGCTGAACTTGGTATCGAAATGGTTTTCAAATTTTTTTACAAAGAATTTTAAGAATTTTTTGTCATTTAAATATTTCACATGCACCCCCTGCCATACATTATGAACGCAGCCTTATCAAATTATTGCAGACGTCAACACGATAAGCGCACGCGCACTAATTCATGCGTAGGAAGGATGCGCATGATCATGCTTGAATCGTATGAGATTCATAAGGTTCAGTTATGATTGCTTTAGCATGTTTAGTATTACTATGCGTTATCCTATACATTTCAAATAAATTTGGTAGTTATCCATTAACCAAAATTTATTGATAAAATTGATAATAAAAACTTCAGAGAAAATAAACTAGTTCATTTTCTCTTGTTAAAAACTTTGACTACTGTCAAGATCAAGAACTGGGTTTCCTGTGGTTTAAGTTTTGAACGCCTGTCGATAATTGCTTTCATTGTCAACAATAACTGGGAGTGTTCGAAGTCATTCTTGCAAAACTATATGAAGTTGAGTAAACTTTCTGTAAAATGGAGGTCAAAGCCAGCATTTTGTCTTTAAATGATGACTGTTTATGTAATATAGTAGCTTTCATAAGCGATCGTAGTTCATTTAATAGCTTGGCTCGTACGTGCAAGAGACTTCAACAGTTGACCAGTAACCCAAGGAACTGCCACGTCGACATCGTAAGGTTAAGAGCAGAGCATTTTATCAAACGTCTAGTCGTTCATCTGGGCGCTAATCATGACAAACGTGGTTTAAGCTACGAGGCATATGATGAGTTCTGCAAGTTCGAAGAATTCTTAGCTCAAGCGTTCCAATACTCCAGTACAAGATGCCTGTTGACATACGACAAGGTTGTCGACGTTTGGATTACGAGCGGTCCCGTTGCTAGCGAAGTCTTTACGTGGGTTAGAAATCATAGTTTCAGCGTCTCCGAAGGAGAGCCAAGAGCCACGTGTATGACAAAATATAGCAGTTTCACTGTTCATTTACCAAGGCGAAATCGAGAAATGAGCGTTAATACTACATATTTTCATGACCACATTGGTAATTATGATGATGAATTGACTATCGAAGTGAAATGTGACGACCTAAAGATCGAATCGAAGGATTTTTATAGGATAAGTCCAGAAGATTTCAAGTACTGGAGCGAAGAAGAGATGAAACAAGTTGTCGAATCAATGAAACCAGTTACAGACCTCCTTCAAGAGGAACTTGGAGAAACCATCCCCTCCATTCATGGAAATTTCCTTTTTTGGTTTCTCTACTTTTTCCCAGAGAAAATGAGGTTCGATGAAGAAGACAAGCTCAGCTTCAAAGATGCTGCCAAAAATGAAAAGCCTAGCATTGAATCAATTCAACCAATGTTAGAATATTTTCAGAAGAATCTCCTTAGAGAATTTCAGACATCTTCTGCAAGATGGATGAAGGAGAAAGCCTTTCCAGAAGAAACAGAAACTTGCAAGTTTGTGATTGAATCACTGGATGCATTGGTGCAGAGATCTGATGCACGTTTCCTTAAAAACATTCAAAGGTCTATCTCTCGCATTTTTAGAGTCATAACAGACTATTGCTTGAGAAAATTACCAGAAAAACTAATGTTAGCGTTGATAAAGAAAACATCATTTGAGACAGATAATTTCTCTTCTGGAGCTACAGCTGACAAGTTCGTTGATAACACTGTATCTTTCCAGCTACCTGAAAGCAAATTCATCAAAGTGAAAGGAGAAATAGAGGGTGATGGTTATAGCGACCCAACCTGGCATAGGCTAAAGCTTGAATTTCATTTACCAGATAAAAAGATCCATCTAGATTCAGGAAATATTTATGACCGCAGATCAAGGGAGGAAAAAAAACTTGATATGGGAAAGCTCAGTCCAGTCACTAAGCTTTTGCAAGAGTGTATCAACCATAGCATGGAAGGGGAGGAAGAGATTCCAAAGATAAAAGATATGTTCACTGCTTTATATTTCATTATCGTTTTAGATTTTGGTATTTTAAGAAAAGACAACTTCTTTGGAGATTCCATAGATTTGTCAGACCTTCTGATGGAAGCGGAGGAAGATAAGCTATCAGATGAATAAGCCTTTGATGATGAGGATACCTGAGAATATAATCAAGACAAAGAACTACAGATATTTTTGGAAGCTGTTTGTAGGAAGGTATAAATATTCGAGTCTTGTGTATGCAAATTTATTTGACTATTAACAATATTAGACCTCACGCCCTCATTCCTTATACAAAGACACAACTGGTTTCTTGTGTATTTGTCTTTGTGTAATGAATGTTCTGGTTGAGAGATTGCAACTATTAGTCACTAAACAGTACTATTTGTCTATATCAATTTTGTTTTTAGCTCATGGTTTTACTGCATGTGCTCTAAGTAAGCATGCAACTGTTAATATTAGAATCTTAAAAGATTCTCGTGCAAACGTGAAATTCAGTTTGACCATTCTTTAAAATTAGTGAAAAGGAATCGCAAAAATCTCCAAGTAGTAGATAAACAAAAGAATACTTGTCTTTGTCGAGAAGGTTTGCAAAAGGTAAAGTGAAATGTAGGGAAAGGTTGAAAACGTGGTCAAGGAGAATCTTAATCTGCCTAATATTTTACCTAAATAACACAACACGATTGCACAGTACACCATGACAGTCTAACCAAGTATTTACCGACAAAAGCACAGTCAGAACGATGACTTTGAGGGAAAGCCGACATCACGAAGGGAACGAATCATTGGCTTGGCCATTTCTTCGTGTTTTGTTTTTCAGTAGCTTGTAAAATGGAGCTTTTAAAATGTGAGCTAAGCGTAATCAGTACACCACAACAGCTTAACCAATTATTTACCAACTGAGTATTTACCAGCTTCAGAACGGGGAGCACGGGTGGCTTAGCGTTGAGAGCGCTCGCCTCTCATCTGTGCAACCCGATCGAGTCCCTTCCAGGCTCTGTGTCGTTGTTTGTTGGTTCTCTCCTGTGCTTCGAGGTTTTTCCGGTTCTCCGGTTTTCCTCCCAAGATAAGTAAGGCCTCATTAGTAAACAAAGTCTACTCAGTACGATATTTTGTGTCAAAATCATTCACCATTACTTCAATAGACTCTTCAAAGAACTCGAATTGGTGAAATGAATGACTTTGACACGAAATATCGTACTGAGTAGACTTTGTTTACTAATGAGGCCTTACTTACCTCGCTTCCATTCAATTGTCCCTAGTGCCAAACGTGTTTGGCGGCCATTTTTGAAAGTCGTGTATGCATGGCGGAATCCCTTAAATAAACAAATGATTAATTAATAAATATACTCAGTCTCTGCTAGAAAAAAGCTAACCAGAAATAGTTGACCGATAATTCCTTTGGGGGAATGAGGTCAACTCAGCTGGTATCTGAAAACCTAGAAAGGATAAAGAAACATATCATCGCATTATTTACTAAAAGATAGCATATAGTGAGACTGTTTCTGCAACAGGCCTGGAATGAACGCCTTTATTTTATTATACATTGTTCAAATAGATTAACTGATAATACTACGATAGAAAAAGTTTCAAAAAATAAAAGTGTCAGCTCGAATAAACGTTTTGACATTCAAAATGTTTAAACATGAAAATAACAAGGAAATGAGTATTTTTAGCTATACTTGCTTTGGTTTATCGTGCACCGTCAGTATCACGTGACAGTTCAACCTCAAACTTTAAAACAATTGCTTTGTTCTATGGAGTTTCCAAACCATTCCGCTCCATTAACTGTGTTTGTTCTCATGATAAAAATACCTTTATTCACCGCTGCGTACAGCATACATGGCAACCCCGAGATCTTCCCAGACCCAGGAAATTTGACCCAGAAAAATTAAAATAAATGAATAAGAAAATGAAAAAACAGTTAAGAAAGCAACCTTTTTACAATGTAACAGCTGTGACTTTTTTTATTGTTATCCTCGCACCCGTGATAATTTCGAGAACAAAAAACCTAGAATTTACAGTTTTTACTATCAGTACGGCGCGCATGCGCAGCAAAATGTCGCGCATGCGCAGCAAAATGGCCCCTTGCTATAACGATGAATAATCAAATAAACAAGGGCTTAGCAATATTACCACCCCGAACTGTCCTCATTTCAGGCTCGAGATTAAAATACTTAAAATGTTTCAATGAACTTTGACATTATGTTGTCAACATATTGCAGTAAACGTTGAGAAACTTTGAAAAAGAAAAAAAACCGACAACTAAAACTTGCAGTGCATTGATGTTATGTTCCTCGCACAAGGGCTTCTTTAGCTAGCTGGTGAATTCATTCAGTTTCTTTTCGTATTTAAGCAGAGCGCGCAAAAAACTATTTTCTTGAAGAAAGGCTATTGTACAATGCTAAAATCTTATTCAGAAAGTTTTACTTATTTGGAAGTGGAGATGATCGATGAAAGTGGAATCAAAGTGCTAACCCAAAGCAAAAATTTTATTCGAAAATGAGGTTTAGGCCTTCATTTGCTTATTTCCCTTATAGTAATTTTCTATAAAAAAAGGCTGATAAAAGCAAGATTCTAATACAAATGCAACAAAACATCTTTGTACAATTGAAAATACCGCTTCAAACAGGCATTTTATCATAGTTTATCAATTTCTAACTGTTTAAAAAAAGGTTTTGAGTGTTAACCCAAAACGAAAATTGGGATCAAAACTCATACGAAAGTCTAGTTTTTGGCGCTTTTTGCCATTACGATTGCTCATTATTGAAAAAGATTTCCTCTTAAACTTATATATTTTTACATAGTAAGTTATAATAAAAGCTTTTTTGCTTATTATCGAGAACCATGATTGATAAACCGGCTTGTTTGACAGAAAATACGTCAATACTTAGAAGACGTGTTTATCACCGTTCAATCAATTCGCACCATGTTAACATGAAGGTAAGGTGGTCCTAGTGCTGAAGGCAGTTCTTGTTTTGATGTAACCAGGGTAGAGATGCGAAAACAACTAAAACGGCTTGCATGTTACGTTCTTAGCACAAGGGCTACTCTAGCCACTAGCTTATACGCCTATTTCTAAACAGGTTGTCATTGCGAAAGGCGATAGGCGATTCCACATGGAAATGGTTTCGTTGAATACAAAGAGCATTTAATCAGTCTCAACACTAAGGTCCATGTTCTTGACAAGAATAAGAAGCAGAAACACAAGTCATTCCAGCTATTCTTGGATCTTGGAATGACCTATCTCCTATTGCCTTTCGCCTATTGCCTATCGCCTATCGCCTTTGGCGATGACAACTTTAATTGAAATAGGTATATGTATACACGCATATTATATATTACAGTTGTCCTCGATTAAGTCGATCTTTCTATTCCAAAATGAAAACTCAATCAGTTGTTAAAATCTGTGGATTTACAAGGCAAAAGTCTCATACGAAAAAACGAAATTTGAATGCCTATTACAAAACCACAATATTWAAAAAAAACACATTTATTTAAAAAACACACTTAAAATAATAACGGACAACACGGGACTTTATTTTTATTATAAACGTAACATAATAAATTAAACATCAATAAGAGGCAGGGTTACCGCAATAGCGTAGCCTATTTCTGCAGCCCCGAAAAATGAAGACTTGTGCCTCTGCAAGTGCAGGACTACCTTATTCAGAAAGAGCCGTAATTACTGGGTTGCCTGCGATACCGAAGTCTAAAATCTTCTTCAGTTTTTGTTTTCTTTTTCGAAAAAGAATTTACCTCCAGAAATTAAAAAAAAGTAACTACTAAAAACGTACCTCCAATTAACGTACCTCCAAATAACGTGCCTCCGAAAAATGTACCTCCAAATAACGTTATACCTCCGATAAAACGTACCTCCAAATAACGTACCTCCGAAAAAAACGTACCTCCAAATAACGAACCTCCGAAAAAACGTACCTCCGAAAAAACGTTAACGTACCTCCGAAAAACGTACCCCCGAAAATAACACGTACCTCCGAAATGAAAAATACGTACCTCCGAAAAAAAGTAGAAGGCAAAATATAAGCAAAATCCAGTTTAAAAAAAAGGGACTAATAATTTGACGAATCTTTTGTTACATTCATCCAACATGCCGGCTGTGAAAACCATCATAGCAGACGAAAATTCGAACTATATACTTAAGTTTGGCGGTAAATTCACACCTGATTTTAGATGATCTAGTTTTGTTGCTTACATCATATTTAAGAGTGACTGTCCGTAACCATCGAGCAAAACGTGGCAAACTTCGAAAAATCGATTTCGCTCATACTTTCAAGTTAGTTAGGGTAATGTATCCTAAGAATCGCTGTTTGATCAAATAACGCTTCATTATGGAGAAAAATGGAATTTTTCAAACACTCCCGAAAACGCCGTTCGCGACAGTAAATTTTGACTCAACTTTCGCGGCTGCTGGA